GGCATATAAGCTTACCCTCATTTATTGTTGCAACTAAGTCCATGAAGTCAGTATCCCTATTCTATCCAGGTGGAGAAATAGATTCATTGGCTTGAGTATATTTTAGTGTTGCAGAACCAGTAGAAGGTGATAAGAACAGAAAGCAAGCTTCAAAACCTATTTGATTGTATACTGCCTTTTCCTCCCCTCCCCTTATATTCAAATTCATCATCAAATCCTATTGATTCTGCCTATAGAATGACTCTGGAGTCTGTCTCTTCTCCACCGTTTTCCTAATACTCAAGCACCATCTCTTCATGGATAAATGCAGCAGTCTCCTAGCCTCTCACCTAGACTCAGCGCCCTCATCCCTGTGGTATGTCTCCACCTCACTCCCAGGGCCACATTCCTTACACAGAAGTGGTCATGACCCACGTCCACCTCACAGGGCTCAAGGCATGTCACGATCCGGCTTTCTGACCTATCTTCCTGGCCACCTCTGTCAACACCCGTGATATTTCAATCCAGCTCTTGGGTCTTCATGCACTTGCTGCTCAGAGAAAATTGGAGAGATTTAAAAAAAATTCTACCCATAGTTCTCTAGCAGGAAAATTCTTCCTTCAAGTCTGAAAACTAAGGTTCCTGCCTTTCTGAGTGTCACCCCAAACTCTATAGTGTAAGCATCTTCATGGTGGTGTGGTTATGTTAAGTGCCGGACTGAAGTTTTTGATAGCCAAGGCATCCACCTCTTGAATACAAACACTGCCAGTCATGTTCAACAATGTCACCCCTTCCTTTACTAAATTTCCATATTCTGTCCATGCAGACTCCCCAGTGTACTAACCATTCCCACTTTCCAGAACAGGCACACACAACCTCAGATCACTGGAAAATTCATGCTTTGACTTGGCCTCAACAGAGAGAACAGAACCTCTGCTGGTGGCACCAAGGTGTGACAAGCTATATTCTCTGTTCCCAACACTGGAGATGATCTGAATGGGACATAAACCCTGAAGATTATACAGCACCCAGAATTCTCTTTTTGATCTTCTTATAATACCCAAGCTTTTACCCTCAAAGACAGAGTTCTTTTTGATCTGTCCTTTGACTCTACTTCCCCCCTCCCACTATGATTTTTTATCATCAGCTACTTCACACTGGTGCCTGATCGGAAGTGCATAGTCAAATAGGATGACCCTGTCCATTTAATGTCCCTACATCAAAAGCTCGCCAAGGTACTGTGGCAAATTTGACAAGCGTGAGGGCTGGAGAGCAATCTCCAGGCCAACTGCTTTCCCCAAATTCTGTGGCTACAAAGCACAGCTAATGAAACCAAATTCTACTCATTTACAGAAACTAGAAGTTATTGCCTCAGGAACAGCCAGCCACAGGGGTTAGGTGTTTGAAAAAGGAAATAAACACTTCCCATGGAGACAAAAGCCTTATCTGGAAATGAGAGTGTAGCAAGAAAACCACAAGTCCTGGCCTCCCAGCCACCAGATGGGAGCCTCTCAGTCCCTCATCTGGCTGAGAACCACTGCAGTGAGCTGTTAGTCGATAGACACTTACCTCAGCCCAAAGGAAGCCCAGCGAGCTATTCACAACCCTATGTGACTATAGCTATTCTTCCTGCTTCGCACAGCCTGGGTGAAGGGGTACTGGGTGAAGGGGCTGGACCTTCCCTCTCATGGATCAAGTGTTGCAACAATGCCACTTCGGTACACAATTATACCCCAGGGTAGAAAAATGGGGAATGTTGGACAGCCTTGTTGGAAGGGCTCAGCAAGGTTCTCTGCAGAATCTGGCCAGTAAAGGGGTTCCTGCCTCCCCCAGGATTCACCCCAGCACTACTGTGAGCTTCTCCACTGCACCTTCCCTCTGCCTTCCACAGCAACAGCCTGAGGCTTCACCACATTCTTACCCTGAGAGTCCCACATTGGGAATCAGAACTGCTGGACTTATCACGCGGTCTCTAATTGCCGGGTTCCCACCTTAAATGCTTACTCTACTGATGTATTCCTTTTCGTCCAACACCATTGCCCTGGGGCTCCCTTCAGTTAGATGCTTCACCCATCTCCTGCCCCAATGGCTCCTCAAGGAGTGCTTTGGGGTAGCCTTTGGGTCACCCAGGTCATTGTGTGCCCAGGTACAATCAACTCTTGGCCTGCAGATGCCGGTACTGCACCCCCAGGACTCATAGAGCATGTATGAGCTCTGGAATTCTTGCCAGAGTTTCTGATGGATACTTTGCCCTGGGAACTTCTGCCTTTGCGTTTATTGCAGGTTCATATCATAACACTCTCGCTTATTCTTTCCCCCATGATAAGCTTTCCCAACACATGTTACAATGCCCTACTGTCTCCCTTGGCCTTCAGATGTTATAATTATTGTCTCTACCCCCTCCCCTCCAATTTGTTACCCTAACCCAAAAATCTGGTTACCACTAGCCCAAATGAACTGTTCTCATACCCTTAGTACTGGGCACTTAAGCTCTACCAGGAATGACTGGACTGGCACTGAGGCCACCACCCCAGTCACCCAGAATCAGACAATTGAGGCCAACCAACAATTAACGACCGCCTTACCCCGAAATCTACGACTCCACAAAACCCCGTCCCTCGTGCAGCTACCCTGTGAGATTCTTGCTCAGTGTTTTAGACAGTGCCTGCCCAGATTATTCGCTGACCTCCTGGAGTACAGGTCCCTGGAACCACTTACTGCATGCGCACCAACACTGCACACAGGTTAAGCCACTCCATACCACATGACCCAAGGTGTTAACATTTGCCACAATATTACCCAAATCTTTGAGTAGATTGCCGGGGGCCCCGGTCACTGATCTATACCCATGGCTGGACACTGCAAGCTTGGGACAATGGCTATAGATGATTTCAGACTATCACCTGTGTGATCTTTGCAAGATGTGTTACTATAAAATTGTTGAGGAAGGTGCTTTCTGGGTCGCTAGGTGCCCCAGTCCTGACCTTGAGCATTTCTGTCCAAGTCCTCAGCATGATCTGGGGGCATCACAGGGTGAATTGTAGGGTAAGCAAGCACCTGACAGTGGGATTTTTGGGTTTTGTCTGTTCATTGCAATGCAAGTTTCTGATTTAAGCTTTTGATTCAAAGCTATTACTGCCATGAAGCAAACTCATGGTTTTATAAAAGAGAAAATTTATGAAAGGGGTTTTTCAGAGCCAAACTGAGGACCTGGGCAGGAGAGACCAGTATCAGATTTCTTTAAGTGACTGATCCCTGCCCCCCTTAGGATTTTTGGCCTTGGTAAATATAGGGAAGTTAAATACACAGAAAGAATATATAATCCTTTTTAACAAAGGAAAGAAGACATCTAGTTTAATTTTTTAAATTTTCAGTTAGCTAAAGGAGGTTGGTTGCTAACAACCTTAGATAAAGGAGAAGCACCATTCATTTCTTCAAAGGGGTCCCTTGATCGTAGGGAGCTAATTTAGCAGAGAAACCTGTGTTTGGGAGGATGAAGGTCCAAAGTCCATCTGAATCTCTTACCTGAAAAGTCCCCTTAGAGGAAGGGCAAATAAGGCTGTTAGCTCTTGTTCCTTGCTCTCTCCAACAGGGTGGGCTCTGGCCTGTGGGCTTTTTCAGATGTTCCCTCCTGTTTTTTTTCTTCTGAAGATTTATTTTTATTTATTCATGCATATAGACAAGGGGTGTAGGTCAGAGTGTGGGGGTGAGAGGATTCACTAGAGAAAGATGGGGTAACAGAACAGGGAGATCCACTGAAACACACTGCTGAGGGGAGCAGCGGGCTAGACAGGAGAGGTCTGCTGCACCAGGTGGGTCAGCTCCCTGGCTGGGGATCGAACTCAGGCCACAGAGGCTGGCAATGGCTTGACAGCGCTGAGACTTTAACCCCTGCATCACCGGGAGGCCCCAGATGTTGCATCCTTTTTCACCCCAGGTTTTTTTCATAGTGAGTAAGAATTACTGTTGCACCGACCCTGACCTCCTGAGGCAGCCCAGACTGGGTAGAACTAGACCTTCTCCTACAGAGCAAATAGCAGGATTTCTTTCCTTGACCATGTGCATATAAACAGTGTGGTCACAGGACTGGATTCAGGGAGGCCACCTCACCCTCAGGCTGCCTTTGTTTGCAAATGTGGGTTAATTTCACTCTCTGAACTTTTTATCCACGTATTTTTCCCTCCCTGCATTATAATTCCTGCTCTTAGCTTTTCAGCTCACCAGGAAAGAGCAAAGCCTTTAAGCCCTGGGCTCCCCACCCCCAACCCCAATAAAAGCAGGACCCCAGGATCCCTCTCTCTCCACCTGGGACCTTCCTCTATGGTCCCAGGAGTGCCAGGTGCCTACAGGATTTGAGACTAATAAACTTTGCCTTTCAACATTTTCTGAGTTACTACTGAGGTGTCTTACAACCAAAAGAACCACAAAGGCTGGTCTGGTGATAACATTGGCTCCAAAATGGGGGGATCTGTGGGGAGCTCCAGGGCCTGGAGTGCCCCCTTTTTAACCAGTGGCACTACTGTTCATTGGCTGAGACAGAGACTGGCACCCTCTCCTTGGCAGATCGGAGTGCCTACTCTATCAGGACTTTGTATGCATTTTCAAGAATACAGGCTCTATTAATTTTCTTATCTTTCTCTTTGATAATGAGCCCCCTAGGGATGAAGATCATGCCATATTTATCTTTGGATTGCCAGCATTCAGAACAGTGCCAGGCTCAAGGTCAGCCCTCTATAAATGCTCATTACCGTACTAACGCCTGCAAGTGAATACTAAGAAGCTGCTCAGACAGCAGATTGCAAAGCATACTGGGAGTAGAGGCTTGAATTCGAGTCTGGGTTGGCCCACCAAGAGGCTGTATCAGCAGGGAATAGCCCTGACTTGGGTCTCAGTCCCCTCGTTTATGGGGTAGGGAGGAACACCTGGCTCACATCAGCGATGCAATGATTTCATGGCTAACTCCTAAAGAATATCTTTTTCTCACCAGGAAAAGCCGTTGTTAAGGTCTTCTGAGCAGAGTCATGACATACTACCAGGAGCATGTTCCCAAGAACCCTGTCGTCAATTTCAATGGCCAGGACTTTTACTCCTTGCGAGATCAGTGCTTGAGGAGAGGCCATCTGTTTGAGGATGACACATTCCCCATCTCACCATCATCAATAGGACTGCAGCTGTTCCAGAAAGGAAGCTTCTCCAGCTTGCAGTGGAAGCGACCCCAGGTGAGTAGGCCTTCTAAGCAGGCTGCCAGTTCCTGGACCCCTTGAGCTGCTGCCTTGGTACTAGAGGGAGGAAGGGCCTGAGACCTGGGCTTCAGGGGTGGCTCCAAACAGACTGACAGGAGAAAGGCATCCATCTGCTGCAGTGTGTCCCCAGTGGAATTCAAGAGTCTGTACCAGGGACCCGACGCAGGTTCTAACCCAGGTCTAGATCAGATGCCTCAGTAGGTCCATCTGAAAAAGGGGAGTCCATGGGAATGAAGATTGAAGTAGTTGTTGCTCAGCTAACACTGGGCCCAGTGTCCATTGCCCTTCACTCTCCTCAGGCATCGTTGCCTTTATCTTCTCTCTTTCCCTGTTAGAATTTACTCAAAGGAAAAGGATCATGTCAGTCACTTATAAAAGAAAATGCATTTAAATAGTGGCATTCTCCATCTTGCAAAGATGTGATCACCTATGAAAGAATTTCAGACATTAGCTGTAAATTAGGGAGGCAGTAAAGGACAACAGTCATCCCCTCTGTCTCTCCTACCCCAGAAGATGACTACTAACTTCCCCCTGCTACGAAGAGAGCTTAATGGATTTTCTAGAACTTTCTTAGGTTCAGGGCATGAAACTCCAAGGGAAATTTCTCAGTGTGCCCAACATTCTTATAATCACATCAGAACTACTATTGATGCAAATGACTTAGCAAGAACCACAATGAAGGCCCCAATGGGCAAACTTTGTGTCTGTGCTTCCAAAAATGGACGCTAGTACCTTGACCAGGAGAAAATAATAGCATGTCTTATAAGCTAATGATTATAGTATCAGCAAAGATTAATGAGATTTGGTTAAATGCCAAGCATTCCACCCAGTCCTGTCAATAAAGCTGGGTTAGTTCACTCAGAAAAGGGGTTTGCTGATGACATGACAAGATGTAGAATTTTGGAGGTGCCAACTCTTGCCCTAACTTGGGACACATTTATAGCTTTAGGGATAGAAAGGATTAGTAGAGATCCGGTGTGACTTGGAATGTTGATTAAAGAGAGATGGAGGTACTATGGTACAGGTTTCATGGACTCCACCTCCACTCCAAATACTGGAACTACAAATCCCATCAATACCAAGGAGAAGCACGCTGCGATGTGAGGGTGGGGCTGAGCAGCCAGATTGGGATAAAACCGGACATGTGGGCTCCAGGGGTCTCTCTGGGCCTGGTGGTTTGTGGCTGGTCATTTGGCTCTTGATGAGCTTTCAGTGCGTTGTTTGAGTTCCAGGTCAGCAGAGGTGGTAGGACGTTCCAGTTAACTTATATTTCTCTCTCCCTCTCTTCCCCTGGGTTGTTCCTTTTCCTTTCCTCTTGTAAATAAACCCATTATTGGACCTTTTTGTGTGTGTCCGCAATACAATTGAATCTTAAGCACACAGGTGACAACCCACAGACAGGAAACCCAATTCACATTGGGTTGCCCTGTAACACTATCAGCCAGAGGCAGCAAATCCCCCAAAATGACTGTTTTCTTCAGGCTTTCATCTCCTAAAGAGCCCTGAGCAGAGAACCCTGTTTACAATTTTCAAGTGTTAATTTTTCCCCTTTGTCATTTTCAGAAACTGAGATTCTTTTAGAATGTGACTGGTTTGTTTTTTTTTCACAAGGTGCTGAGCCTTAGATCTGTGACCATATTTATAGTGTTGAAGAATTTATAACATTTCTATTTAGAAAGGGTTGAGAGTTTCTTATTATCTAATTTCAACAACATCTCAACTTGTGATGTCTTTTGGGGACAAGGAGAAACTAAGACAAATAGAAGATAAATAACTTACACAGAATTGTTCCAGGAAGGAACCAGAAATACAGGCAACTAGGGATCAAGTATGTTTTAATCCTATTCCCTTTCTCATTCAAAAATCTTAACCAACCTCAACCGGGGGGTCAGTTTTCATGCCAACACCCCTTAAAGTGTATAAATGGGAAAAGTTATATTTCTTTGTGCCTCTTATAAGTGTCTGGCAGCACTTATATTTGTAATGGTAATTTCTAGAACTTTCCATGTGTCTTCTCTTTGTTCCCTTTGTTCTTTCACAATTTTAAAAGAAAGAAAGTAGATTCAGGCAGGTGATAGGACATAATTCTTGATGGCAGGAACTAGGATTTGAACGAGATCCCTGACTTCACATGTTACAATTTTTCTCACATGGAATTGTGCTCCTAGTGGCATACTGTTAAATTTAGAATGAATGAACGAGTGAATGAATGAAGGATGGACATCCTGGTAAGGCTTTCAAGTTCCATATGTGCCATAGAATCCCTGGGGTGACTTGTGTTCCAGGACAGTTGAGGAGGAAAACAATGCAGTCACCCTTTCAACATGGTGACATCTTTGACTGCAGCAGCTTCCTCACAGGGAGAACAGCACAGAGACTGCGAGAGGAGCTCTGGCCAGCCTGGCCCAGTACTGATTGTGAAGGTCAAACCCGTGCATGGTGCTGACTATCTGGCCTGGGTCTCAGCACCTTGACTCATTAATCCTAAGTCTGTGTGGTGATATTATTATCTCTATATTCCCAAAGATAAACAGAAATGATTAAACAACCTGCCCAAAGTAACAGACATAGGATTTGAACTCCGGACTCTGGCTCCTGTGCCTACAATAAGGCCTTGTCATATATTGTGTTCTGTGTGCCATTGATAAAACTTTGTACACCAGTAGACCCTCCCGCGTCATCTGGGTAACTAGAAATTATCTTTTTCTACAGTACATCTCTCTAAGTTCTGTACTTTTCCTATATTTTTTAATGAGTGTGTATGGAAAATGAGGATTAAGTAATGGTACCTATCCCTAACATAATTTTGAGGTAGACCAGATGACTATACTGAGAACAGTGTCTCACATATTGTAAGCAGATATTAAGCACTAACTGTTGTCACTACCACTAACCAAGAAGTTGCTGCTTAGGGTAGCAGCCTCAGGGACTCTCCCTGGGAGTCCTTGGACCTCGCTCCAGCAAGTGGAGTGAGGGGTCCCAGCTTTCATAGTCCCAGTACTTACTGCAAGCCCCATCTCAGCAAGAGACAATGCTTTTATGTGATACTCCAAAGACATGGAGTAGCTATGTGATAATATGCATGAACTAAATTTGGTGTTCGGAGTGACTTACAATATTTATTTCATGGATAATTATAAAAATTTCACTTATGAAGCATGAACAAGGGCTAGAGGTATCAATTTAAGCACTTCACATTCAACACTTCATTTAACCACTATAACAGTCCCAGGAGATAGATAATATTATCTCATTCAATAGATCAACCCTGCCCACAAGAACTTCCTGCTTAAGTCAGTGACCACTGGCTCCATGCAGCTACTGAGCACCTGGAATGTGGCTAGTGTGACTGAAGAATTAAAGTGTTAATTTTATTTAAATTAGCTGAAAGATAGACCTTGTGACTGTTATATTGGAGGGCACAGAATTGTAGATCTTCACAGCAGGCACCAGTGTGTGTCAGATTGAGAGACTGAAATTTCACTTTTGTCCATTCTTTAACAAAAGTAATTTCACTTCTAACTAAATGGGATGTGAGCCCAAAACATGCCATGTAAGGGGCCCCTCAAGTTTCATACACAGCCCACCACCACCACCGGAGGCTCTGGTGTGTGGACTGACTGTAGCGTTTGTACCCAGTGGACAACTTTCATCTTCCAAGAAGCTGGAGTAATTTTGAGAGAATCAGTCACTAGAAATAATTCTCCTTCCAGCCAAAATAAATTCTTCAGATAAGGAGGGGTTAATAAAGCAAATGATTGTAGGTGGTGAAGGCAACTGGACTCATGATGAGGCAGAAGGCAAGAACACCAACAACCAATTAAGCCAGTTACCTTCACGGCCAATAAAGCAAAGCTCATGGCAAAAACAGGAAAGGGAGTGAGTCGCCACCTGGCCTAGCCTGAACTCTGGCCACCTTGTGAAAAGGTCCAGACCTGAATGCCAGATGCTAAAGCCGATACCTCCTCTTCCAGGACCAGCACATGCTCTGGGCAAGAGCACACACAGCCTTTGAAAAGAATGCAGAAGTCACTGTCCAAATATACAAAGTGATGTCCTATTGGAAGAGAACTCTCCAGAGACAGTGTGGGAACGTGCCAGGTCCAGAGACAGTATTTCCTAAGATTCCACGAACTCTTGCACCATATGAGCTTCTGGCATAATATAGCAAAGATTGTCCCAAACTTTGATCTGAGAAAGGTCTCCAGGACTAAGAGGGCTCCCAAATTAAGAGACTAAGATTACTTACTTTGATTTTTGCTAATAATTCTTGTGTAAGTCAGGGTTCCACAGAGAAACCAATAGAGTATATATACATCTATACACCTATATACAGGTTGATTTAGCCTTTTGATAGCTTTATTATGAGGAATTTGCTCATGTGATTATGGGAAATGAGAAGTCCCACAATGTGCCATCTGCAAGTTAGAGACCAAGGACAGTAGTTCCGTCCACGTGGGAAAGCCTGAGAACAGAGCACAGTAGTTCCCTGTCCAGGGCAACAAAGACCAATGTCTCAGCTCATCAGCCAGTCAAGAAGGTGGGTTCTCCCTTCCTCTATGGTCTGTTCTATTCAGGCCCTTGACAGAGTGGGTGATACCCGTCCCCATCAGGGAGGGTGATCTGTTCTAGTGAATCCACTGATTCTAAAGCTTATCTCCCCTGGAAACACTCATACAGACACATTTAGAAATAATATTTCATCAGACATGTGGGTACCCCACGATCCAGTCAACTTGATCTGTAAAAATAGCCATTCCAGCTTTCCTCCATGTACCTTGGATGCTCAGAGCCCTCCAAGACAAGTCCACCAGCTGACGGCAGCCCTGCCTGTCAACACGGCCCATGGGAAGAGCTAAGCTTGAGAGACAGGTTGCCTGATTACACACGGCTCCTTGTGGGTCTGGAGCAAATTGCTCAGTTTTTCTGAGACTACACCCTGATCAGTGCTGTTGTATATGACGAGGTCCTGATGTGAACCCATCCTGGCCTCCTGTAGGTCTATGACAAACCCTACTTGATGATACTGGGTTAGGCTTACAATTTATTGTTTATTTATTGGCTGAGTGGTTTATTTTGGTGTGTTTCTATAAGTGAAGTCAGTTTTAAAATCTGTTTTTGTGTTCTCTCGTTCTTAGACTGGGTATCAAGGCTGTGCCATCATCTTAAAGGAAATGGTGACAGGGTTCTTATTTTAAAAAACCAAACCTGTAAGTGATTGTCTATTCCCAAAGGTTTGAGAGAACTGGATGGGGAAATCATATGTACTTAGGAGTTATTCTTTGATCATTTTAACATACTTCCCCTAAACTGCACTGGACTGTGGTGATGGCACCTGGGTGGTTTGGTGATGGGAAGCCCACAGGGATTGCAACTGAGATGGGAAAGGCACAAAATGATGTAAAAATAAATTATTATATTATTTAAAAAAATTACTTCCCCTAAATTACTGCTCTTTTCAGTTTATTTATTAACTTGGGTCATTTGAGGTTATGCTTATATTTCTCAGAAATCATCAGTATCTTTAAGTTGATTTGTATAGAACTTTACATGATATTTGGGGGGGTTGCTAAACCCTATTTTTATTTCTAATTTTATTTAGATTTCTCTACTGGACTTGTCAAAAGTTAGATCGATGTAAACCTTCTTTCTCAAGGAGATTTGATTTATTGGTATTGCTGTTTTTCTATTTATAATTTACTAGTTGTTTTCTCTATCACTACTTTCCTATCATATTGGTGAGGCTCTTTTAGTTGTGTTTTTAATTTTTCTTCTAACACCTATGCATTGACTGCTTTTTTTCTTTCTTTCTTTCTTCTTCTTGTTTAATAATGAAAGCATTTGAGGCTCCGGTGTGTCTATGAAAATGGTCTTTTTAATTTTGCAAATATTGCAGAAGAAGAGAATCAATATTGTTTGAACTTGAATATGTACCCTACTCAATTCTGTGCTAAATATTTCACAACCTCCCTCGCTTGTAAAGTGGAAAGACTCCTGCTTGGCCAGGCTGTGGGCAACAATCTGTGACTGAAGCTCCAAGCCCTCTGTGGGATTCGGTTCCTGTGGCTGGTGTCGGTGGCTTTGCCAGTTGATGCTCCCAACTGGCCTTGTGTTTGATGATGACCTTCTCATTTCACACGCCGGGAAACTAAGGCCTGGTAAAGTAAAGGAAGTTACTGGTAACCAGGACGAATCCAAGGCAGTATTGGACCCCCTGTCTGAACTATGTCCCAACTCAGCCCCCCTCCCTCCACACCCCCCAGAGGGACAGGTCCACCATGCTGAAAGAGCTGGAGTGGAGGGGTCAGGGAGCCCAGCAAAGTTGTCTTTTGTCTTTGTTCCTGGCTGGAATACTCAGTAGCCTCCTCCCTCTTCTTTATTTTTTTTTTAAAGATTTATTTATTTATGTATACAGAGATGGAGTACAGCCAAAGTTGCAGGGGTGGCAAGAGGCTTCACCAGAGACAGAGTGGGGAGCAGAACAGGCAGATCAACAAAGCACACTGCTGAGGGGAGCAGCGGGCAGGTCAGGAGAGGTCTGCAGCGCCATGTGGGTCACCTCCAGGGTGGTGATCGAACTCGCACTTTGGCCACCATGGCTCGGCTCCCAGTGCAGCGCTCTAACCCGCTGTGCCACTAGGGAGGGCCCTCCCTCTTCTTTAACTCCCCTGAGTGGGGGATCTTGGGGAGCAGGAGGTTAGGCATCAATGAGAGAGCAAAATGCCCGTGTTGTTTGCAATGGGGAGACTCGCCCTCCATGCCCTACTCCTCCCCCACACTCATACATAGTCCCCCGTGGGGAGAGTTCTGCTCTGCTGGCTTTGGGGAGACCCCCAGGTTCTGCCTGGCCTGGCCCTGGGTACAGCCAAAGGCTGGGTTGGGTGCCTTCTCCCTGGCCCTTTGACTGGGGTGCTTATCTTGCAAAAGGCAGCACAGGTGGTTCAGCACAGGAAGCAGCCCTCACCAGTAAGCTGGGTCCCGTGTTTGCAGACAGAGGTACACATCTGTTCCCCTTTGCACCTCCACCAGGAAACTCAGTTGACAAAGAGCCGGCAGGTTTCCTAGGCCCACTCTGTATTTTCATGGCTGTGGAGCAAATGAATCCATTTCCACTTTGCAGTTCTGCTCTCTGGGGATGTATTTGTCACTGTAAACAGAAATGACCAGAGCAATGACCAAACCTGGCTCATGTGTACGATGCAGAGCCAGGAAGGGCCATGTGGAGAAGCACGAGGATAACCTAGGGCATACTGGGCCACCCCATGTGTCCCCCAGAGTGTCTAGGGAGCCCCTTGTGGAAATCCGACCTCCTCATGTCTACTGAGAGCCCCCCAAGTCCCCCACAGACCCCTCTGGTCCTCCTCCCTGTGGCTTCAGGCACATGTCGTTGCAGGTTGGGAAGTGACTGAATGCTGAGTAACCTGAGATCGGGGCGCAGGGTCTTCTAGAGCCAGCCTGTGAATTAGCCAGAGAATGTGCACAGGCCTGAGGAGCAGGCAACCGGGATCCTGTACAGCAGGCAGCTGCCCTTGAACCTGGAGCCCGGAAGGCCCAAGTTAACTACTAAGAGATGCGATGTCACAAAGAAAGCTTTGTTATGTTTATAAAAAGTTCCTGTATTAGATGTCTCCTTTTATTAGCTTCATTTTTGGTCATTAATGACCTCACCCTAAAACACCTATTGGGTGAGGGAGGACTTATCGTTTGATGTGAGCATCGGAAGCCCTTCTTACATTTTCCCTCCGTGCAGTAGGCATTGGTGACTGGCCTTGTGAGCTCCCTCTGTGAGTTACCACAGACACACCCTTGGACTCTGGCTCACCCCGAACATAAATCTGGAAGCACAAGAGGGACTTTCCTAACACCAGTTTTAAGCATCTATTAAGATTTGACTCTCTCTTTCAAAGAGCAGAGTCTTGGGTACCCGCTGGGACAGGGAGCAATGAAGCTGTTCTCCTCTTTCCTAAGGATTTATCAAATGGCTCCCCTCACTTCATCCTGGAAGGCGCCAGCAGATTTGACATCCAACAAGGATTGGCAGGTAACTCAACCTCTTCCCTTTCTGTGCCATATTGAGCCCAGGTAGAGAGGGGTAGAGGGTGGTGCCCACCCAGACCTGGGGTTCTGCCCCAGCTCCTGAGGAGGCCGGGCCGCACCCTCAGAGCTTCCTTGGAAGGGTCACTCACAGTGCAGGCTGCAGCCTGCTGTCGGCTTGTGGTCAGTGTGCAGGGCCATCCGAGCTGAGGAATTAGCACAGAAAGGGAGGAAGTAGACACTGCTTCAGTCTGAGTAGAGAGAAGCATCAGCTCTCGAAGATAGTACAGAGGACGTGAGGCCTAGGAGGTGAAGCCTTTGCTGAGCTTCTGCAGTGCCAAACTAGAGGCCCGGCAGAGCAAGCTTATTCGTGCTTTGCAACATACCCCTCCTGGGTGTGAGGAAACGAAGGATCCAGGAAGTAAAATAATTTCCTTAAAGTCATATAATTAAGTGACAGTGCTGGGTTTGCAGCCACTTTGAATCCAGGGCTATCAACCTCTTATCACCCACCAGAACTCCATAAACCTAGTTGTTGGTGAGGGTGTAACAGGGAAGGGGAATGTCAGCCGTGAGAGGAGGCCTGGCTGTGGCCAAGCCCAGCCCCGACCTAGAGGCCTCAGCGCGGAGGGCAAAGTGGACAGGAAATTGGGAGGCAGCGAACAGACTTGGAGTTGTTCACTCACACAGTATGCTTGCTCTGGCCTTTCTGACAAACGAGAATCAGAAGGCAAGTTGGCTCATGATCCTGCCTAAACCTGGCTGGGACACTCTGGCCTGTGCTGGACACCACTGAAATCACCATCCTCAGCACAAACCCCTCACCACCATGATCACCATCTCCACCATCATCCTCACCACCCCATCCCAAGCACCCTTCATCACCCCCCATCACCACCAGCACCATTATCACCACCCCACTCACTCTCACCACCCCCAGCATGAGCACCCCACCATTACCAGAACACCTCATCACTACCTCTATGCCCACCAGCCCTTCTCTATCCTATCTGGAACCAGTCCCAGGGAATCCCTCCTCCAGTTCGCTCGCTCATGGAGGGGAAGAAGTGCACTATTCAGACAGAGGGATGCAGGCTTTGCTGGCAGACTGGGAAGTGCATGGGCTGGGCTTCCACGCGCCTGACCCTCACCTGTGGTTCATCTCCACACAGGAGACTGCTGGTTTCTGGCCGCTCTGGGTGCCTTGACGCAGAACCCGCAGTATCTGCAGAAGATCCTGCTGGACCAAAGCTTTTCACACCAATATGTAGGGATTTTCCGTTTCCGGGTAAGTGAGTGGCTGGGACGGTCCCTACGTGGGGTTCTCTGGGAGCACAGGGTGGGCAGGGCTTTTAGTTTTCTTTTGGCCTGGCAGCCTGAGGTGGAGAAGTCATTGTGTGGTGTCTGAGTGTCTCCAAAAAAGGGTTTGAGTCCAAGATCTGAAAGCACATAGGAAAGACGAGCATTAGGATGCTTCTGTGTAAGTAGAAAGGGATGGCAGAAATAATTAGCAGGAGTTATTCAGAATCTGGCACATTTTTGAGCTCTGTGTCTCTTTGTGTGCCACAGCTGGGTGTGCTGATGAACGCAGCTTTAAATCCCAGCGTCTGGTAGGACAACTGCCCCTTCTTTGTTCTTTATTCTCTCTTCAAAAATACCTTGAGGGCCCTCCCTGGTGGCACAACGGGTTAGGACACAGCACTGCAAGCTGGCTGTAGCCGTCAGTGTGAGTAGGATCCTGACCCAGAGGTGATCACAAGGCGTGGCAGACCTCTCCTGACCCGCCCGCTGCTCCCCTCAGCAGTGTACTTCAATGATCTGCCTTTTCTGCTCCCTGCTCTGTCTCTGGTGAAGCCTCTCGCCGCCCCTGCATCTCTGGCCTGTACCCCAGTTCTGTATGCATAAATAAATAAGTGTTAAAAGAAAGCAGAACACTTGATTATTTTTATACATGTATTCTTTGACGAGGATTTTAAAGTTATCTAATCTTACCAAAAAAAAAAAGCCACTGTGATATGAAGTGATGCATTCACTTGGAACAATTATATTTTTATTATTTTAATTTTTCCTTTCCAGAAACATGGGATATGGTCCCATTAATTCAAAGCTAGTTTTTATGTCCTTCAATACAATTTTATAGCTATGTTTTCATATTGGTGATGTGCCCTTCTTAGTGGATGTATTCTCAAATATTTTATAATTTTGTAGCTCATGTGAATGAGATTTTCCCCGATTTCCAACTGTTATGAAAATTAACTCGATAGGGCTGAAAGGAAGAATGTGATTCCATGTCTTAAACTGTGTATAGCCACTTTACTAAATTCCTTTATTAGTACTATTTTTTTCTTTAGTAGAAGTTGGATTTTTGGTTCTCTTCTAACATTGTCTTCAAAAAAAGGTAATTTTATCTCCTTGTTTGATCTATATAGAACTTATTCGCTCTTTTGCCTTTCATGTTAGTTAGAGCATCGTAATTTTGAGTAAGAGTGATGAGGGTAAGATACAGCCTTCTCTTGATTTTAGTAATAGATTTTCCCGATATACTCTCCTTTGAATACTGTTGGATTCAATTTGCTGAAGATTTCATTAGAATGTTTCTATCTACATCAGATGTAGAATTAGTTTCTGGTTGTTTATGTTATTGTTACCATGTTTGATTTGTACTAGCTTTTTAAAAATTAACTCATTAAGCTTTACATCTTTTCTTCTGAAATAATTTGAATAATGGTTGTTAATTATCTGTTCTTTGAAAGTAAAACAGACAGTTAAATCATATGTAAATCATATGGACTTTTTAAATGGGACTCCCAATGTATTCAGTAGCTATTGATTTGAGTAAGTCTCATTCTTCTGAAGTTAATTTTTGAAATTTATGTTTCACCTATAGTTAAAAATTTATTGCCAAAATATTTCTTATGTGATTCTCTAAAACTCCACTGAATTTCTTTTAATCTTTGGTGATACCTACTTTATCAATCTCAGTGCTATATTTTTACTCTTCCCTTTTTTCTTAATTCAGATTTTCTTAATCCAACCATTCTGTTGTTTTTTTAATAAATCAATTGGCTTTTATTGTCCTTTCTTTTCTCTTAAATTTGTAGTGTTATTTTCTATATATTACTTTTAATTTATTCTTATATATTCCCATTGACTTTACCTTGGTTACTTTTTCAAAAATAGTTATTTGTGCATACAGAACTGGGGTACAGGCTAGAGGTGTAGGGGGTGAGAGGACTCACCAGAGACAGAGTGGGGAGCAGAACAAGCAGATGGACTGAAATACACTGCTGAGGGGAGCAGCGGGCGGGTCAGGAGAGGTCTGCCGCGCCATGTGGGTCAGCTCCCTGGCTGGATATCGAACTCAGTGCTGCAGTGGCTGCTGTGCTTTAACCAGTTGTGCCACCGGGGAGGGCCCTATCTTGGTTACTTTTATTATTTTTATTTGATTTCCAAAAGTGCACACATTAATATTCTTAGTCTTCTTTTAATAAGAAACTTTCAAGGCTATAAATTTCCCTTGAGATCTTATCTGTATCCATAAAATTTTGATATAAAATATCTAACTTTTATTAATTTTAAGATAGGGTTTTGTAGCTTGGTTCATTTTAATAAGGGATGGTCTTTGGATTCTAGCGTTTTAGGTTTATTAAATTGTGGTAAGAGAACATAATTAGTAAAACCTCCAAATTTGGGGATGTTGTTAAATATTTTATGTACAAAGCCATGACATTTTCTCTAAATGCTTCATGAACATATGTGAAGATCTATATTGTTCAAGATATCTATATATATACATATATTATCCATATATGTGTTAATATATTTATATATTTGATAGCAAGCTTTCTTTATCTGTGACATGTGACTTGGAGGTTGTATTATCAATATGACGTCTTTTATCTTGGCTTACTTCTTGTGCTGATTTGGCAAATTCTGAAAGAGGTAAAACAGAGCTCTTCCTCAAAGCTTTAATTTGGAGGGTTCATCTTATATCTTCAGTATTTTGGCTTAACCCTTTCCCTACTACATTCTTGTGTTCCCAAATGTTTATGTTCTTGCTGTCTGGGCTTTAAAATCAAGCTTACGTGATGTCCCTCTTTGTTACACTCCATGCCGTGTCCTTGAGTCCCCCTTTATCCGACACTCCTAGGGGTGCTCGAGCCTCTTGTTATTTACCTTTGCCTGTTATGTCTTTGCTTCTTCAGTACCAATCTCATCTCCTGTCCGTCATAAGGATGATTCTTGTAAAACACGTACTTATAGCTCACTGCTCACTATTGTCTCTTTCCCCTTTCATTCAGGCTTTTCCTCCAGTTTTGTCTAATTCCATCCCCACTGATCTCATCGTCACTGAATAATTTCTTCAGATTACCTGAGTGTCTTTCATTTGCTTTTACTTTGAAAAGATATTTTGGTTGGGGCGCTCCCTGGTGGTGCAACAGCTTAGGACTCAGCACTTCAAGCGATCCATAGTCATTTAGTGCAAGTTTGATCCCCGGCCCGGGAGGTGACCCACATGGCACAGCAGACCTCTCCTGACCCGCCCGCTGCTCCCCTCAGCAGAGTACTTCATCATTCTGCCTTTTCTGCTCCCAACTGTGTCTCTGGTGAATCCTCTCAACTCCTGCACTCTGGCCTGTACCCCAGTTCTGTATGCATAAAGAAATAAATTACATATCTTTTAAAAAAATAAATAAATAAATAATATATCTTTAAAAAGGATATTTTGGTTGGGTTCAGGATTCTTGGGTCATATTTCTTTCCCTAAGTATCTGTAACTGTTATTACAGTGTCTCTAGCTTCTGCTGTTGCAGAGAAAAACATGCAATGAGAATCTATTCTGTTGACTTTGTATGCAACATGTTCTTTCAAGCTGCATGCTTCTAAAAGGCTCTCTCTCCTCAATGTTCAGAATTTTCTCTAGAATAAATCCAGATATATGCTTTTTGATAATCTCTTGCCTGTAATTCAGTCTGAAGACTTGCCTCCTTTTCCTACTTAGCTAAGATTCCCTCCATTACTTTTCTCTTTTCTCCCCTTCTCTCTTCCTGAAATCCAACTGCTTGCAAAATGGGTCTTCTAAGAAATGTCAGATGACATTGATGCTGCAGATTCACAGCATACTGAGAAGTAAGCTAAAGGTCACAGGATGTCTGTGTCTGCCCTTACCCAAGGCTGCAAGTATTGATAGAGTGACAAGTGGTGAAGGCATTCTGAGCCCAGGCTGCTCTGTCTTTCTTGGTGGTGTAGAAAGTCCCCCCATTTCCTAGAAAGAGCTACAATGCTGACTTCTGCACATCTCTTCTCATTGCTCTGAGCTCAGTCATTGTTTTCCAGAAAGGGCCCGATGCCCAGGCAACTTTTATCCTTTCCCTCAGAAGCTTGGGTGTAGGCAAACAGCACCAGCATGCTTTTAGGAAAGTAAAGATTTGATCAGATGCCAGCTCTTTTCACCCAAAGAAATAGAGACATCATTCTTGACCATCGGGCAGACTATTCACATACTGCCTAGGAATCACCATCAGATCTGCTGATCCCTTTGTAGGTGGAGAGCAAGTTTTGCTTAGCATTACTATTACTAAATATGGGGGTCCATGTCTAAGGGGCAGCTCACTGCAGGAGCTCATTCAAGCAAGAGCCCACTCCTTTCTTGATGGTCTACTGGGCACCATACACTATCCTAGGTGCTGAACAAAAAATGCCATTCTTAAAACTGTAATCTTACTTTCACAATCTCATCTACTCCCAAATTATGAGCCCCATGACACAGTTCTTATTCTTACTGTAAGATGAGGAAACTGAGGCCAAAAATTAAGTATCTTACTCAATGTTTGTTGCTCAGCAAACTAAAGGCAAAAGTACATTTCCACTCATGGACAGTCTACTGCACTTTGCTATCATGAAAACATCTTCTTTGTTTTGTCTCCTCTGACATCTCCACGTCAGTCTCCATATCTACTTTGAAAGTGTGTCCTCAGCTGGATGCAACAGCCCAACATCTGGGACACCCAGCTGTGGAAAGGCCATGTGGACAGCTTCCTGTCACTGCTGAGCAGATGATCGATGGCAGACACCCAGGTGTCCTCCAAGCCCAGCTGTCAGACACTTGTCTTTGTCCAGGCTCAGGCCGGAAGCCGGACGCCCTGCATTTCACCCTGCGTGGGGGAGACCAGTGAAAAAGCTCTAAAGCCTGGCTGTGTTAGGAATTTTCCTCATTTGGTGATGTCCCTGGGTGAACCATTAAGAGTTGAATGCTGAAGATTAAAACAGTCTGTTTTGGAGAGGAACATCTGGTTCATTTATGCTCTTAGCAGTTGCAGCTCCAGCCAACTTCATTTCTGCTGCTCTGAAGGCAGGGCCAGCTTGACATGAGGCCAGAGCGAGGTTGTAGCTGTCAGTCTTCCAGAGGAGGACTCGTGATCCAGCCTCCAGCTTTTGCCCACCTTGGCCCTGCCATCTGGATGCCTTCCCTATCTCCTCTCCACCTGTTTGCCTCCTGCCTGCGCCTTTGGGCCTGTAGCTCCCAGGCGGCTCTCCTTGTCCCACTACCATTCTCCTGTATCATTCAGCATCTGCTCCTCTCCTGCCATTTTGTGAACAAGATGCACCTCATATGTGTCTGAAGCTCACAAAGAACTTGCCAAAACGATGCCGGTATTATTGCAAAGTTGAACCAGCGCCTGCATCTCCTTCCTCCCTGCCTGTATTTTTCTCAACTAACTTAGCCTGTTGATGCATGTTATCCATCTGCCAGTGGAAATTACATGCCTGTCCCAGCCCATCTACAGGGCTAGGATTTTGTTCTGGAGAGAGTTCATTGCTGGTTGAGCAGGCCACGGTGTGACTGTGGTGATAGTTTGGCATCGGCTGGGGGATCAGGATCTTATTCCTGTTCCAATTCTACTAAGACCCTCCTGTCTCTTCCAGTTCTGGCAGTGTGGCCAGTGGGTGGAAGTTGTGGTTGATGATCGTCTGCCTATTGTGGACAGGAAGTACCTCTTTGTGCATCCACGCCGAGACAACCAAGAGTTTTGGCCCTGCCTTCTGGAGAAAGCCTATGCCAAGTAAGAATGGGCACATCCCTCAGACCAGAGCCTCAGTGCTTACCCTGCCTGCCTAGCTGTTTTCTCTGACAAGTACCCCCCACTGGCCAGTCCTGGGGCTCTCAGAAGCTCTGCTGAATGCAAATAATGACCCCAGGAGCATCAGAGTTTTTATTACCCAGCCAAACATCTTCCATAAACAGTCGTGTGCAAGAATATGTTTGGGTCATTAGGCAGGACCCAGAAGACCATAGTAAGGAGTGGGAAGGGCAGGGATTAGCAAGTTGTACACTGATAATGTTATTAATTCAAGGTTGGTCTAGGGGTCCAACTGAGGTATAATTCCGTGGTCAACATCTGATGAAAAGGCAGAGGAGGGAGAAACTCTCCTGACTTTCTGATTCACAGGCTATAAAGAAGAGGTAACATTGAGTGAAGTCTTGAAGAATGGGTAGAATGTCTGGGAGGAGAAAGGAGATTTACAGAGAAGTCATCCCTAACAGTGGGAGTGATCCAAGCAATGAGCTTGGGGCAAGTCAGATCAAAGTGATGTCAGGGTGCAGGAGCCTGGCATGACTGCTCTGAGATTCCATGTGCATCCAGGGACAGGAATTGCTCATCATGATTTGACTCAATCACCATGATTCAGAAACTGCCTTTTGGTATTGACAAACTGAAGGATTTATAAGCACTCCAATTCTCAGGTTTCACTTAGACTTTTTAGGTTGCTTTGATGCAACAGATGTTTACCAGACAACAGGCCAGGCACTGTGCTTGGCACTGTCTAGAGAGACTGGCACAAGCATCTGTGTAAGAGCTAGAAAGCAATTCTAGCAAGACAGGACAGAAGATCATACCTGTAAAGAGAAAATGAACAGCAGAAAGTGTTTCAAAATCAGGTTTCCCAGAATTCAGTGGGGAAGCCAGGACTCTGAATTACAAAGTGATGGCAGGTGGGAGTAGCTCACTGACCTGATAAGTTGTCAGTCACTTGACCTTCTAGAACTCTGATGCCCATGAGAAGTGGCACTAATCCGTCCTCCTTTCTAGGGGTCATACCCTGAATGGCAAGGAATCTCAAGACCTCTGCTTATATCCTTCCTTTTGAGCTGACTTGTAAAATATTAAAGTTGTTACTCATTTCCAGTGTCAGGAAGAGCTCTTGATTTGCATTTGAGGATGAAGCACAGATAACAGTAAAGGTTGTTGAGTGAATCCATATATTTGGGGAGGTTAATTCACTTCTAAGCTACTTACACAAACACTACCATTATCTTTCCAGTATGGATTCCGCCCTCATGACTTCAGGGCCTCGTTTTTTTCCCCTTATGTAAAAGAGGGTAGCTTGGTAGTTCACTTGGAGAATTAGAAAGCTTGCAGAATGAAATGATGACTTTGACCCCATTTTGTTAACAGCTGACCTAAAGCAATCACTCTGCTTGAAAAGAAATGGGAAACTGGACACAGAATTCACACTCAATGGCCTAAAGAAATCGAGAGAAGGATAAAATGTTTCAAATTATAAAGCTATTTAAAAGCTTTTCCCTCAATGGACCTCCCTGGTAGCTCAAGGAGTTAAATCTCAGCACTATGACGCTATCCTCAGCCACTGCAGCACGAGTTCCATCCCTGGCCAGGGAGCTACCCACATGGCTTAGCAGACTTTTCCTATCTCACCCGTTGCTCCCCTCAGCAGTATCTTTTAGTCACCCAGTCTGCCTGTTCTGCTTCCCACTCTCTCTGGTGAATACTCTCAACCCCCACACCTCTGGCCTACACCCCAGTCTTGTATGAATAAATAAATCATCTTAAAAAAACAAAAAAAAATCCCCCCATTAAAGAAGGAAACCATAGTATGTAGAAGTGAATTAAATTGAATTATAGCCTACCAGAGCTGGAAGGGACCTCAGTCAACGTTAACCTCCCCCCCCCCATCTTTGAAAGATAAGGAAACTGAAACCCTGAGAGCTGACACGACTGGCCCACAATCACGTGGGGTTAGACAACAGTCTGGCAGGAGAGATATTCTCTCTGGTTATGTTCTTGTCCATCATCCCTTGATACTCTTAGTCCCATTAAAAAAAAAAATCTTGTCTTTGTGCTTCTTTGGGACTATGTTGTAGCAATGGACTCCAGAGCATGGAGATGGAACACCCCCTTTCACCCAGATGGAGTCACCCTCTTTTCCTCCAAGGGAGCACACAGACTCCAAATTTCCAATTATCCCATGACTGGGGAGTCTGAAAATGAATTGAGTGAGTCATATGTGGGGGGAGGGGGAATCTTACAAGTTCCCCTCCTGCCCCCAGAGCTCACAGTCTAGAGAGGAGATGGGGAACCAGATCTGATAGCCCCACATTGGCCCTCATGAATGGCTGCAGTTAGCAACTGCAGCATTTTGGCAGCTTTCCGGCTCTGATTTAGACATCCTAATTCTTCCCCCTTTCATATCACTGTCGGACAGATAGATGTTTTCCCCAAATGAGATTGGAGCAGAGGGATGAGAATGAGGCTCTCTCAGAACTTCTGGGTTCAGGTGACAAGGCGTAGTGACAGGTATGGCGAACACAGTTCTATCTTTCCTTCCTTTCTATTTCCTGTCAGCAAAGGAGGCTAAGAATAGTTACTATAGATGTCCCGAAGCATCAGCGGGATTCATGAGCTTCTGTGTGTAAAGCAGAGAGATAGCTCCTTGTCAAAACACCCAGCTGCCACTGTGACGGGCTTCGTGAGTGCCGTGGAGGAGCGAGGGAGGCTGCGGAAGGCCCCAGAGGGCTGCTGCTGGCCACTCCTTCCCCGCTGCACGGGTGTTTCTGGGGCAACTGGGGAACGGTGTGGGCTCGTGGCATCAGACGAAGCCGGAGACACAGCGGGGCTGGGCCTGGCGAGTTGGAGCAGGGCCGACAGCTGCTTCTCTGGAGGGGTCCTGGTGTCACCCTCTTTGAAATCAGGCCAGGAAGAAAGAGGCTGTCCAGTGCAGGTCCTGCTGGGGGACGCCAGCACCCCAGTCTTTGTGAATCTCTAGTACCTTCAACAAAGCCCTCTCAAATTGAGACCAAACGCCAGAATGCGTGTGAGAAATCAAACAAGTCAGGCTTGCAGACTGAACTGGGAGGTTCCACGGTCGACTGGGCAAACACTCTTATCCAGAGATAAACATGAAGAGCTGGCAGCATATCCCTGGGCCAGAGAGGGGAAATACGACAATAAGGCCTCAACCAGTTCCGAGCCAGTGGAGCTCAGTCTCTCGAGGTTCTGAGGAATGGCCCTTGGCTCTATAGACCCTTCGCTTCTATTACTAAAAGTCTCCAGAGCCACTCATGGGGTGCACTGCTGTGGGGTGTCCTGCTACTTGACATGTATTTCTGAAGTGAATTTTTAGGAATTCTGGGTAAGCCCCAGGGGTGATAATGACAGAGGTGGTGGAGATTCAGTGAGAGAGGAGCATCTAAGGAGGCCTCACCCCCCACCGCCAGGAACTGATTCAGTCGCTCCTACTGTTTTCCGGACCAAGGACCCCACCTGAGCTTGTTCAAAGGTGCGGACCCCATTAGCAGTAGTCCCGGCGGTGGAGCAGCCTCCAGGCCCCCATTGGCTTTGCATTACGAGAGAAAGCCATGAGAGGGGCTCCCCCTGCTCCCGGCTGTGCCGGGACTGGCCTCCACTTGCCACCAGGACTGGGGCGCTCAGGCCCCTGACAAGGACCCCCCAGAGACGGGGGCTGCGGGCGCCTACTGGATGGCTTGACACCAGCAAGCAGTGCAGGGGCTCCCGTCAGCCTGGCCCCTGTCTTTTTTTGGGTTCACCCCCACTTTATCTTAGGATTCCATGGGGTCCTTCCCAGTTCACCCTACTGATAGGAGCTCAAGTTCTCAGAACAAAGGGCTTGTCTGGCTCCTGCCTCAGTGGTACTCTCTGTAGCTGAGAGCCTCTTTCCTGGGGTGGCACTCAGCCATTACAGGTCCCGGGCCACTGTGCTCTTCCAGCTCTGGGGAGCACCCCCCATTTGCTTCCTCAGCCCTGGAATGCCAGCCCACTCTCCTTCCCTGTACAACACTCAACCAGAGGTGTGCCCCTCTTTGAAGCCTCCCCTAGGTTTCTGGAGTCAGAATGAGGCTGGGCTCAGAGCTTCCTCTCTGTTCCAAGGTGATGCATGTGCTCTCATAGCAAAGAGACACCCAGGGAAGGCCAGGAAAGCTGGTTTGTCATTATTTATAACTTTCTAAGAAAACAGTGGCCCAGGGTGCTGTCACCAAGGGGCAGACTAGTGGGGGGAGCTCAGGCGACAGTAAACACAACCGCGAAGGCACTTTTCCAAGTGCTGTGTGGTGTTAAGTGGTGGAATGTCACCAGGCAGGTGCTGTTAACCTGCCCATTCCCCAGATGGGCAAGGGAGCCTGGGAGAAGCCCGGTCTCTTACTCAAGGATTGAGAAGTCTAAAAGGAAAGTCAGGAGTTGACCCAAGCGCACTGGCTCTGGCTGGGGCCTGTCTGCCTCCTCAGAAGTGACAGGGGTGCTATGTCAGGAGAGTTGGGAGGATGGTGAAGTAGGGCAGCAAAGACAGGCTTTCTTTGGGGTGAGCTGTCCATATGCAGAAACCCCAACGGGAGGGTATGAAGTGGTGCTTTAAGTGCTGTGCTCGTGGGATGTGCTACGTAAGACTCATCCTCACCTGTGCACCCGCGGTGAGGCTGACTGATTGTGCTGACGGTTCTGGGGTGGCAGGTGAGAATGGGAATGGGAATCCTGGATCATGGTTTGCTTGTGGCCACAGCAGGCATCAGGGATGTCGGTATTTTTTCCATGGGGAGAGCAATGGGTCTCCCTCATCATTCAACACTCCCCTAGCGCGGTGCCCGGGCCTCCGAATGTGCTGACCACTCTTGTTAATCTGAACAGGAAACTGGGCACTCCCTAATGATAATCCCTAGTATTTATTAAGGGCTTGCCATGTCAGCCACGATACTATATGACCAGTCACAGAGGTTAAGTCATGTGTTCAAGGTCACGCAGCTCAGTGTGTGGCGAGGCTGGGATTGGCCCTCACCTGTGATTCCTACACCTGCCCTGACCACTACACAATGTTGCACTTGAGAAGCTGCCCCTGGGCAGGAAGGCAGTAGTGTTGGTACATCGGCACATTATCGTCCAGGAGAAAGGAAGATGAGTGGCCAAGGTCCAAGGTGATCTGGCAGTACTTCACCTGGGATCACGCAGAGGTCAGGTGAGCCACCTCCCCGCCCTCCCCAACGGCTCAGTGAGGGTTGATCTGACTCCCCACCAGGTTCCGTGGATCCTATCTCCACCTGCACTTCGGCTACCTCGCTGATGCCCTGGTGGACCTCACAGGAGGAGTGGTGACCAGCTTCGACCTGCACTCCTTCTCTACTGACCTGGTGATGATGGTGAAGACAGCGGCCAAGGCGGGATCCCTGATCACCTGCGCCACCCCGGTGGGGGTGAGTTGGCTGGGAAGCGCTGCGCTCTCACCTTTCACCCAGGAACGTTCAGCCGGCAGCCTGGCTAGAGCGAGGCCGTGACCAAGAGCACCGATGCTGTGCTTACCCAGATGGCCTCCATTAATGCACACAACAGCCCGACCTTTGCAGAATCCTGCAGAACTCACTTATCGACGAGGAAATGGACTCAGAGAGGCTATATCAAATGCTCAGGATCAGGGATTCATGTGCTGCTGTCCCATGCCAAAGCTTTTGCCTGGCGCTTTCCCCCTGAGCAGGGGCAAGCAGGCCTCTGGAAAGGCGGCCCCCGAGGCACTGTGACCCATTCGGGAAGGCTGGTCCACCCTCAGGTTATGGGTCTCTCTGGAGACAGCCATGTCCCTACCCGTGCCCATGTTTCCTCTACTAAACATGTGGGCTCCGAGTCACACCCCACCAAGGCAAGATGTATTTAAATTACTCATAGTACTGGGGGGCCAGGTGTCCCTGACTCCTCTAAATATCCAGTAGACACGTTTCTGTGTCATTGATGATGAGTAACTGGAGGAGCAAAAATCCCTGACCTCTGGACTCGGTGGGGCTCTATCAGTAATGGGGTGATATGAGATACGAAGTACTTGGGCCCTCAGCTACCCAGTGACCCTCAAAGCCTGGCTCTTTAGAAAAGACACCAGGAGCATATGCCATTCCTCTGGGCCAGCCAGCCGGACGCTTCTGACCAGCCTAGGCTGAGCTGCTCGTTCAGTTGTGGAATCGTGTGAGCTTAGTATTTAGTCAACTTTTCAACTTTGTAGCCCACAGGTCAGGACACGGAACTGGAGAACGGCCTAGTGAGTCAGCACGCCTACACAGTCACTGGAGCAGAGCAGGTAATCTCCCCTGGACTTGCTCCTTTGAGCAGGCCTCATAAGCATATGCCTTCAGCAAGCCCCACACCGTGGGGCAAATGCCCATCACCCCTGCCCCATGGTCGAGTCCATCGTAGATAGCCTCATTCTTCTATCTAGAAGTTTTGGTGCCTAATATCCTCAAGACCCACCCGCCCCCCCCCCCACACACACACCTGACCCCAAGATCTTGCTATCCTTAAACTGATCTAATATAGGCTGAGTATATAACTAAGCTAGAGGAGAAGCAATGATCTCCCCGCCCAAAGAAATAAACAAGCTGACTGCCTCTGGTTGGAGTTCTGCCCTAATGGGGTTTATTTGTTCCATGCAACTGAGTTGTCATAGCAAAGACTCTCTAAAATATAATGCAAAGACTCCAGCAAGATGAAGTTCCCCTCTCTCTCTCTTTCTCTCTCTCTCTGTCTGTCTCTCTCACACGCTCACAGGTAAGCAGGTGATTCCAGAGGTGGTAGGTGACACTCCACTCACAATATGTGCCTGTGAGCCCACAATTCCCAGATAGGGGAAGAGAAAGAGGCCAACGGCGGACACCCATCTACCAGCTAGAAGGCATGAATTGGAAAGGCAGACATTGTTTTCTCACACATCCCATTAGCCTGAAATTAATCACGGGGCCACATCAAGCCCCAGGGGAGCCTGAGAAACATGCTGTTTAGCTGGGCCGCCATATGCCCAGTGAAACTTGATTCCTACGGAAGGAGGGAAGTCAGGGACAGTCTTCTTCCAACAGACTTTGGGCAGATAAAAATGCCCGTAATTACTGTGTGGGTATATTTGGTTGAGAAAACACCAGCAAAGGCCAGCTTCCGCAATTTACACATGAGAAGCTGAGGCCTGGAAGGAGAGTCTTCCCAGGCCACCCAGCTGCCTGCAGGGCTGGACTCAGGCCCTCATCTCCTCTGTCCCCATCTGTAATGAACCTGTCACATGTGGAGGCCCATGGTGGTCTCGCTGTGGTCTTCTCCCCGCTCAACCTTCCCCAGCACTCTTGAGGTCTAATAAAGGAACTTAGGAGACCGTAGCACAAACTCCTAGGCGTTTCCACAGGTAGGTAGGGGCCCAGGAATGCGATGTCAGGTTCTGTTTTGGGCGAGCTTTCTCACATCTGCCTCCCCGCTCTCTGTAGCAATCTGTCTCTCCTGTCCACTCCCCTCAAGCCAGTTGCTCCATGGTCTCAGGTTTGGTAAGTGTTCTAATCACAAAGCACACACGGTCTCTGCTGTCTCCTGCCTGTGTCCCTAAGGAAATCAGTAACAAAGCGCTTTCCCTGACCAACACCTGGGAGAGAGGAAGTCCCTGGTGCCGGGTGCTGAGTTGCGCCTGAGCGTACTCGCATCCGTGAGTGAGTGTGTGCCCTGGACATGTGTGAGGAGCTGCACAGAGCTTCCCACAGCAAGGAAGAGGCGGCCCTACACTCCCTTGGAGTTCCCAGTGGGGACCAGTCAGACCGCCATCACCCCTGGCCGCCTCCAGCTACTGTGCTCCCACAGCGTCTGTCCCAGAAGTGGGCAAACACAAGCGAGGAGCAGCAGGTCCTTCATCCCGTGTGCCAGTCGATAGATTGGCAGTGGCGCCTGAGGGGCTGTGGGCCCTGCTCCAGACGGCGAGGGCACTGAGACGCTGGAGGGCACCCATGCAGGGAGCGGGTGAGGGGCGTCGGTGCCATGTGGCTGCCGTCTGCACAGGCCTTGTTACGTGTCATTGTGCTGATGTCCGCTGCGAGCCTCCACTTCCACACTGCACAGCGTCATGTTACAGGTATACACTGATGTTTCCTCTGAATGTGGGGCGTGGGGGAGAAGGGACTTGTGTCTCCAGAGGCCCCGAGAGCCATGAATATGAGTCCCCATGGAGGCTGGATGTCGGATGGCAGTGACCGCTGGCTCTAGAGTGGCCATGTAAACACCAGGGTCAAGGTCATGGAAGGAAATTGAGGAGTCTAAGTGAGGGCTTGTGGGGCCAGGGCCCCTGGGCAGCCTTCTCACAGCCTGAGCGATTGTGCCTTACACAAGCGCTTGTGGGAGTCCATCCAGACCATGCCTGCGTCCAGTCTGTCCTCCATTCCGGCCGTTTGGCTGTTGCTAACATTTGCCAGCATGAGCGCCAAGGAGCACCAGCCCGAGAGAGCCTCCAGGTACCTTCATACTGTTGCTCACCTTATTCTCTGCTTGTAGAGGCCCAGTGGACACTAGCATTTTAAAGGCTCTGAAGAGGCCTGCGTGAACCCTACCATGCAGCTTGGTTTGTACCTACCATTAGCTAGGAAACCATTATTTCTAGGACTAACCATGGAATTAGCATTCAGTGAGGATGTGCTTTGAGGATCTCCTGTCTGAGTATAGAGAACTTGGGTCACCTGTGCCCAGGGAGAACCTTTCAGAGACCAGGGCCAGTTGGACAGTCAGTAACCAGGATGGTGAAGCCAGTGAGCCAGATGTGGCCATTCCCAGATGTGGCTGGGACCTTAGCCTGGAATGTGGCCCTCAGCCACCTGACCAAAGTCCATGTGGCCACCAGTAGGACACAGAGTGTCCTAAAGAAGTGATGTAGTCAGAAGAGGCTTCAAGAACCTGACTTAGTTAAAGATTCCTCCTCTAGGGAGAAAAGGTCATAACTCTGACTACACGTGCTAAGATTAAACCAGCCCATAAATGTAGTGTGCTTTTTAATCTGCTCATCCTCCCTCCAGGCGGGACACAGACAGGAAGATAAATGAAATTGGCATTTTTTATTATGCACCTAGCTTGGCCGGTGACTCCCCTGGGCAAGGGGGTGAGTGTTTATCTGCATGCCTCATTTAGCTCCGCTTCCAGCTCCTTCCAATCATTGACCGCTCCCCTCCCCCTGTGACCAGCTGAGCCTCCTATTCTCCCTTCGGTTCTGAAAGTGGCTCATTAAGCACTTTGAGCCATGAGGCAGCCATTTCTCAAACCCCCCGCCCCCTGCCCCCCACCTGTTCCGGGGCTCTGTCAGGTCCTGATGGTTAATAATGCATTGTGCACCAGGTCTGGCGCCTCTGGGCATGGGGCGCAGAGGGCAGGAAACCTTTGTTGGTGTGGATCCCCTGGCCCATGTGGCACTGCAAGCCAGAGCACCTTGCACTGCAGTGCCCGTTGATAGAAGCAAGGCAAGCCCTCTGTGACAACAAGCTCTGACCTTGTCAGACGGCCTGGCTTCTTTATGACTGGGCCCTATGGCTGGTGATAGGGGCCTTGGCCAGATGGGTCAGAGTTAAACTCAAGGTCAGGGGCATGTATATCTGAGAGTGGACTGGGTCCTGGAGCACTGTAACCTTGCTCCAGTCCCAGTCCCAAACTGGGGAGCCTGGGTTTTGGAGACTGATTGTGTATGCAGTCAGAATTGGGTCATTGTGCTTGCTCTGTGACCTTGAAGAAGTTCCCTAACCTCTCTGATGCTCAATTTCTTCTGCTGCATCATCGCAGTGGTTACATGAGCATCTACCTGGGATGTGAGGTGTGTTGGGTGAAGAACATAACTGACGCCAAGTTCTGAGAGCCGCCATTTTAGAGAGGGGGCTTGGTGTCCTGGGGGGGGGGGCAGGCATTCCTCTTGAGTGACGTGTGGGTGGGACATGATCTGGCCATTTCAGGGGACCAATCACAATGGCCAGCAGCCAACCTACATACATGGAAAGCATGTGAAGGTCAACCAATCAGAAACTGCCCCCTGGCCTGCGTGCTAGCAAGTACTATATAATCTGTACTCGCCTATTGTCGGGGGCCCTTCCCGGTAACCTGATGTTGCTGGTTGCGTTGGGTCCAAGCTCGAGCTTGTATTAAAGTTTTTGTACTAAAGTTTCCTTTGCTATTGCAGCAGCAGACTGGCCTTATTCTCGGCGGTGCGTCTCACGGATCGGGGTACAACACTGGGCACCCAGCTGGTGCCTGCTCTTAGCCCTCTCTCCAGAGAGGTTCTTTTCCTCATGGTGCTCTTCCACTCCGGATTTCTCAGCCTCCTCTGACCTAGAGTCACTGAAAAGTTCACCTCTTCCCTCACCCCTCCGGCCTCTCTTTCCTCAGACAGCATTAGCACAGATCAATACTACAGCTACAGCTCAATCACGTGTTAATTCCTCTCACCAGGCTCGGGCTGTGGAACTTAGGAGTTTAAGTTCAAAGGGTTATGGTTCTTTGGTTATAACGTTACAGCAGTCCTGCGCTCTGGCGTCAATGGCCAGAAGGAGCAAATGTGACAGTCTCTGGATCTGGGAGTGAGAGATGATGAGGTTTCCCGGGAAAGGAAGAAAGTTCAGGCCATCCGGGCGTCTGGCTCACAGAGAAGCAGGGCCTCAGGGGCACGTCCAGC